AGAGTGAGACTCTGTCCCAAAAAAAAAAAAAAAAAAAAGAACTCATACACACTACAACATGGATGAATTCTGAAAACATTATGCCAAGTGAAAGAAGCCAATCACAAAAGACCACATATTATGTGATTCCATTTATTTGAAATGACTAGAATGGGCAAACCTATAGAGACAGAAAATAGATTAGTGGATACTGGGGGTGGGTGTTGATTGCTAATGGGTTATGGGGGTTTCTTTCTGGAATGATGACAATGTTCTCAAACTGACTATGGTGATAGTTGCACAATTTTGTGACTATGCTAAAACCACTAAATTATATACTTTAAAGGAATGAATTTCATGGTATATAAATTATATCTCAATAAGCTGTTTAAAAAGGGAGGAGGTGGGATGTCACTTCCAAGATTAGTTGCAAAAAGACTCTGGATTCCATCTTGCTCAACCTCTCTTGCTCTCTTGCTTCTTCATTCTGATGGAAGCAAGTTGCCATGCTGTGAACTGCCCTACAGAGAGACCCACATAGCGAGAAACTAAGGGAAGCCTCCAGCCAACATCCAGCAAGGAGCTGAGGCCCTCAGTTCAATAGCCCACAAGGAGATAATTCTTGCTGTTATGGTATGAATGTTTGTACCCCCCCCAATTCATATTGAAACCCAATCACCAATGTGTTGGTATTAGGAGGTTGGGCCTCTGGATAGTGCTCTGCCCTCATGATTCAGATTAGTTTCCTTATAAAAGAGACCTCAGAGACCTAGTTTTCTGTTCCAGCATGTGAGGACACAGCAAGAAGGCACCATCTGTGAACCAGGCAGTGCACCCTCACCAGACATTGAATCTGCTTATGCCTTGATCTTGGACTTCCCAGCCTCCAGAACTGTGAGAAATAAATTTCTATTAATATTATTTGTAAATTACCGATTCTGCGGTATTTTGTTATAGCAGCTAGAATGGACTGAGACATTTGACAATAATCATCTGAATAAAGCTGGGAGCAGATCCTCCCTGAGTTGGGCCCTGAGATGACTACAACCCTGGCTGACACCTTGATCACAGCCTGTGAGAAACCTGGATCCAGAGGACCCACCTAAGTTGCACTCAGATTCCTAACCCATAAAAACCGTATGATATTAAATGTTTACAACAATGAATAATTTCCTATGCAGGAACAGATAATTAGCATATCATTTTGTTCTTCCCTGAAATGTCCAGATTCATCCTAATTGGTAGCAGCCACCCAATCAATCCTCTAATAGATACCTCGTGCTCGACGAGGAGTGCTGAGTGGGTGGCCATTGGTTTCACACCAGCCCAAAGGAAATATATCCATGGATTCCACACTCACAATGCATTCAGGTATAGGCTTCTTAGAACCTGTACAGAATTTTTAAAAAAACTTATTTTAGACCATTAAATAACATTCTTCATAAACAACTTTCTAGACAAGGTTCTACTCTTGCAGTAATGTAGACATAAGTCCCTTGAGCAAGTATCTTTTACATGGAAGTTATACTTTTTCATGTATGATAAACATCAGGAAGAAAAAAAAACTGTCCCCCATGCATAACTGTGTAAGGACCAAAACGGGTACAGGTGAATATACAAGGTGACCCTTACCTAGGGAACAGCAAATAAGCAACCGGTTCAAATGGTTAATAAATATCATAGTCAATTCCTTGAAATAATAGAAACCAAAAGACAAAAGTGACAGTTCTACTCAATGAGAACATTACTTTTGTCACTCCAGGAATAAGCCAGAATAGTAGAACAGTGAATTCAAATGAGGAAGTGATCTGGCAAGTTGCTCAGCAGGGGCTGCATAAACATTTACATTTAATATTGTCCTTGAAATATGTGTTAAATGCTAATTCTACAAATCAGAAACAGAATCAGATTCTTCTCTGAGTCTGACCATTTGGCAGCAGTATAAAAAAGAAACCCAGGCCACGCATAGTAACTGCGGCACTGAGTACTCACATGGTGCCTTCCACCCTTAAACCTGTCCGATCACTGAATATTACTTTTAGTGTTATATATCTATCATTTCTACTTTATATACTTCTTTGTTCTATTGGGCTGGGGAAACTAATATACTATCTCTTCAATAAACTACGTGTTAATGCTCACGCTCACCTATTTTGGTCACATCAAAATACATGCTATTTGATTTATCCTTTCCTCTTCCTGAAAATGGGGGACTCTGTAGTAAAGGATTTTTATTCAAATTCATTTCCTAAAATCTGAAATTTGAAAGCCAGGGAGAGAAAATAAATTTTTAGCTTAGAACCCTGCATTACAAATTAGAAGTCTCGGCCGGGCGCAGGGGCTCATGCCTGTAATCCTAGCACTCTGGGAGGCTGAGGCAGAGAGGATTGCTCAAGCTCAGGAGTTCGAAACCAGCCTGAGCAAGAGCAAGACCCCGTCTCTACCAAAAATAGAAAGAAATTAGCCGGACAACTAAAAATGGAAAAAATTAGCAGGGTATGGTGGTGCGTGCCTGTAGTCCCAGCTACCTGGGAGGCTGAGGCAAGAGGATCACTTGAGCCCAGGAGTTCGAGGTTGCTGTGAGCTAGGCTGACGCCACGGCACTCTAGCCCAGGCAACAGAGTGAGACTCTGTCTCTCTGGAAAAAAAAAAAAAAAAGTTAAATTCAAAGATTATGCTTCCATCTGAGAAAATAACGTAAGAGATAACTACTCTCTGAAATAGTTATTTCTTTTTCTAGATATTCTAACTTTCAAATGTCAACTGTTCAGACATGCTATTACATTACTTACTGTTTTTCTGGTTGAACCACTGCAATTTTCCTCTGTTTATGTACTGTAAGAAGAAAATAAAAATATAAATACCAGGGAAAATAAAAAGACAAAGGAAAATTTATGTATGTATTAAGATTACACTAGCATATGTAAAACCTGATTTTATGTATATATAACTAGCAAGTACTATAAATTAGTGTTTATGTGTCTAAATATCTAGACTAAGGCACATTTTCTGGGTAGAAGTCTTTAGACAAAGAGCAAAAACATTTTCAAGGCTCCCTGTGTCAATCAATTCCTATGAATATTTTCTAAGCAAAAATAGATATTCAAAAGAAAAACTGGGCCGGGTGCGGTGGCTCATGACTGTAATCCTAGCTCTCTGGGAGGCCAAGGCGGGCGGATTGTTTGAGGTCAGGAGTTCGAAACCAGCCT